ATTCAAACGACATGAAAATTAACAGTTCACATCTAGTACATCAACATTATTGTACTGAAAGTTAAAAATGTTTCAATTTATTGAAGATATTTTTAGTAGTTTAGTAAATTGTTTCAAATGTGAATTTTAATACAAGTTTCAAATTGAAATGGATTTATCTCAGTAAAATATTGTCTTTTGCCTATGCTAAAAGTAAAATTTCCATTTAGCATTTGCTACAAATAAAAAAAAACTGAAAATAGCATGACAGAGTTATCATACTTCAGTGATTTAAGTTGTAGTTGTTGATACAAGTGAACTTTATGTAATGTGAGGAACCTTGCATTTAAGTAAAATATCACTGTGAATATGTGTTGTTTTCAGGAAAGCAGTATGCAATGATCTCTATGAAGATAATGTTGGCTTACATATTGAGAAAATATAAGGTACATGCGAAAGATAATCTTTTAGATTTAAGATATTTTTTTACAATATCTCTCAGATCCATCGACGGTTATAATATAAGCTTGGAGAGAAGAAAACAATAAATCCAAAGTACTATTGTTGTCTTTCATAAAATAGTGTTTAATAAATCTAAACTTTCAAAGTGTTTTACTTATTCCACCGATTTTTAGTCTATAGATTTGATATAAGTATTTGACCAACTAAAAATTATTTTTTCACCAAAAACCACCTGAAACCCACACATCCCAACCTAAAAAACTGTATATTAATGCAGTAAACTCCATTGAGTTAGCGATTCAGCTTTAAAAAGATGCCATTTGCTTGGAAATTTAATTCCCTCCAACAAGTACCAACTTTTTTTAGTTTCTTGTTGAATAAATAAGTAAGCAAACAATACAAATCTATCTCAGTTCAGTTGAGATTTGCTTTCTAAGCTAAGTGTAATTCACAGTACAATTTGACTCTCTGTTAGTACCGTATGGTTATTTTGGTACAGTTCACATTTTATTTTGTTGTTTCTCACAATTAAATGCTTTAAGCTCCAATTAGTAATGTACCCTAAGGAGTGTGTGATTTAGAGCATTATTTCTACGGTGTCATTTCAAAGCTTGCCATATGCATTAGGCAAGATTTATGCAAATCTATATATTTAATATAATGGTTTAATAGTGGGTGATTTGTAGCTTTGTAGTTAGCATCATGGAACTTAAATTACATATTGTATGTGAAAATAGCTAATCAGTCCAATATAAAAAACGTGGATATCTTTACTACCTAATCCAACAAGTACTGATAGTATAGTAGAGGAGAAAATTCTACCTTGATGACAGTGTACTCGGATCACTGTTAATATTTCTAACATATGCTGCCACATATAAGTAAGTGGTGCTTAGTGGCTGCACTAGAAATTGCTTTAGTGTATGAAATCAGTTCCAGCCTGTAGAGAGTATTTTATCACCTTCAGTTGGGCAGTAAGTAAACAGTTTTTCACACCTTATAGTGATCGACTCAAGAGTAATGTTTCATACGTCTTGAAATAGACCAGCTATTGTTCAGTATACCCACATTTGTAGCTAGTTGATGAGAATTAATTAGGGGATGAATGAATTGATGAAGGTTTAGTTTTAGCGTGCTGAATCTGCTACCAATCTATACTATTATATAAAAATCTAATGGTGTCTGTCTGTATGTGTGTTACTAATAGGTGCAAAAACTACTGAACCAACTGGGCTTAAATTTTACAAACATATAGCTACCATACCAAGGACCCTTATAGGACTATTCACATTTCGATACTGACCGTAGGCTTTGCCCCTTTGGCTTCAAATGTTCTGAGGTGAACATTTTAAAAGTAAATATTGATTGATCTCCATGGCTGCAATGAGAACGAGAACACTAACAATGTTTGTTTACATTTGCTTTGACATTTAAATGTAAACAAGAACTGCTAAACTGCATATTTCACAATTTCAGACAGCTGATACAAAGAAATTAAATATAATATTTGCCATAACTATGAGGTAGGTTTATTTTAATCTAACCTTTTATCATGGATTATTTATTCTAAAACTATGTCAATGATTATAGAAAAAAAACTGATTCTATAACCGTTGCTGTATCAACTCCGGCTCTGCTTTGGATTTTTTAAAGCGTCTAAGTTATGAAAATAATGTTATTGATATGTTTTCATGGAAACAGTATGAAAATTACAATGTATAGATGTTTTGTATGAATTTGAAGGCTACTTTAAATAAATTGTAACTGCTTAACATGTGTTAGATTAACTTAACATAACTTGCACATCACATTGTTTTTTATATGTATATGTAGGTAAATTAAGTTATTGTAAGGCAATGGACGATGGAACTGATTAAAAGAACTTGTTTGTATATTAAGTTGTTTGTTGATATTTTTGTAGAGTATAATCAGAGATGCAATGAAACATATACTGTATTTGCTATTACATTTCTTAGTCCTTGATGCTTTGATAATCATATTAGTTTTGTCTGCTGTCTTTAATGCTAAATTATTTGTTTAAAATTGTTTATAGTACCTATAGATATAGTTTCTTCAATATTTCAAAAGACTGTATTGATAAGGCACAGCAATATTTCTAAACTTTATAACAGCTGACTTAGAGCTAATGATTTATTGTGAGTGAAGAAACTGAAGACGGAAGGATTTGTGATGTAATATAAAGAAGAGTGAAATTTAAAAAAATGTTCATTTAAATTTGATAATTAGTATTTTTGCAACTTCAAAATTGAAATTTTAAATGTTAATAATAAATTAAAAGATATGTGATATGTAAAAGGTAGATGAAGGTAAATCATGTATGTCAAAGTTTTATTCAAACATTTGGTCAGTTTTTCTCATATCAACCTACACAAGACTTAAAATTAATCAAAACCAAAATAATGGTATCCACTACTTACCGGTACCAGATTTAAAAGTCATAACTTAAACGTTCCTATTAAGGCCATAAAAGTTGAATTTTGTTTCTAAAAGCGTTGGCGGATGTGTAACTATTATATGCAACAGATGTAAAGATTAATTTCTATTTTGTGTCCTCTTCCCGTTGCAAAGCACGGGTACAACAGCTAGTTAAGAAATAAAGGGGTTGTAGTTAATGGATGAAGGCATGCTATGTCTGTGTCTAACCTAAATTGTAAGTTCTGGTACCAATCTACATCTTGTTTGGATTTAACCTAAAATTTGTACAGTAGATTACTCAAGAAATGGCACCATTTAGTTTTCTAGTATATTTTTTTAAGTACAATATTTTTGTCGGGACCACGTAAGTTTGCAGTTGGTGGCAGCCAATCACAAGATAAGGCTAGTGCGACGTTGCCACATCGCCCGTTGACAACACTAATTAAAATATACTAAGCAATATATTAAAATCAGCTGGTAGTAACAGATTTGGCAACACCGCACGGTTCTCATTGGTTCATTCAAACCCATATGGTAAATAGGCTCCTCCCTCAACTGCAAACTTACGTGGTCCCGACAATAAATAACTTTTGAAGACCAGTCTTGCACACTAATTTTGTTTGGTCAGTTGTGAACAAAACGTTATAAGTTTCATTGTGCAAAGAGTTTTAAAATGTTCTTAGAGGAAAAAAGTGTTTCACTTTTTGGAAAAATTGTTCTACTCAGTTAACATTACCTTTATAGCCAAGGTAGCCAACATAAGCTATTGACCCTAGGTACATGACATGAGGTTGTGATCCATGGTGCATGACCATCATGTACCATGGAGCAATTGTAAACAAAATTAAGAAAGCGCATACAGTTTTTTTTCTTATCTCTACTCAATTTTTTGTGGAAAACTCTCTGCTGATTTGAGATTGTAAGAATTAGTGAGAAAGATGTAGGCTAGGCAGACATAGTGGTTTAGTTATAGTCAACTAACTGATTTTTTTTATAGTTCAATAACCATGATTGCAAGCACCACTTTACTAGTGTTAATTAAAATAAAATGCATAAGACTCAGGAGAGATGGGCTCCCTCAGCAGAATGAGTTCTTCTATCTGTGTTGGACACTTTACAGAAGCCATTGGTGTAGAAGTTCAAACTCCAGCAGGCAAAGCCCCACAAGCCCACAGGTGAAGTGATTGACTCGGCAAAATACTCAACTGCTAGCTAAGGGTCACAATTACAGTCTACAGAACCATAAAACACCATAAAAACAATAAAACACCAACAAAGCAATATATCTCGTTACGTTTACTGAGAACATTTTGCTCAGTGAATAACTGAACCAGTGCTCGATTTACGGCAGAGCTTGGTGGAACGGCATTCCGGTACATCTCTTTTTTCTCCGGAAAAATAAAAATATTGGCATAAACAGTACATAAATAGGTAGTAATCTATCTATATATTAATAAGCAAGCATGTTTCTTTAAAACCTTTTTTCTCAGCTCGTGTGCATCGTAGGGAAAATCTACGCATACCGTTAGAAAGCTATTTTCCTGTAGGTGTGCAGAATCCCTTTATAAATTTAAATAGGCTCAAAGATAAGCGCAAAAAATGAGTTTAAAAATTTGAAAAAATTAACATGGATCTTATGCGTTGCCATGCTGGTGACAAAATAACAACGAAATATAAAAATAAAATCAAAACAAATGGAAGAAACTCCAATCACATGTTTTATTTACAGTGTGGGGTGAAACATTAACATAAGTCAGTACATTACATATTTTTGGTCGAGTTTCGACCACTGGACGACCTCTAGTAACATTAAATAGGTTACAGTTCCGGCACCTCATTTTTTTTTTAATCGATCACTGAAACAAATTATAACAAAAGTATACAAGTAAAATAAGTGTCTTCCAACAATATTAGATAGATATTATTCAATATATTTGTCAAATAATTATAAGAATAATGTATACATTACTGTCTATAATTATTTTGATATGTACCAGTAGTGTAGTTACATTTTGAATTATTGTACTCAAAGTTCAATAACTGCAAGCACACTTGCCATGTTTACATAAATGATAAATATCTTCAGTATATTATGTGTGTGATAAGGTTCTGGAACTACCTCCCCAATACAACACTGAAATGGGATGTGGCAGTGTGAAATAAACAAATTGTGATCATAGTAACAAAAACTACAATGTGATGTAGTGAAATGTTTTTTTAACACAGAAATTAAACATTTATTGGATTTTACAATATTTAAGGTAAGTAGTAATACTATTACTAGATTAGATTACAACAAAGCTCGACACACCATTTTGCATATCTTAAGGCGATTATGAATGTTAAATGAATGGAATTTATTAAGCTGATAATCAAGGACATTCATAACGGGTCCATAGAATAGAGAAATAGAATAGATGAGTCCAATTCCCGATTATGCCCCAGTTTGCACTAGTATTGTTTAACTATACTGAACCAGTATGTAAAACATGTTTTAATGTTTTGTTTTCCAAACAAAGCTGTCCAAAGATTGTGCCAAGGTAGTTTCATAGTGCTACTACTAAATGAGTAGTTTCCCAAAAATATAAAGGAACAAAATGTCCAAGTAAAGTATCATAAAAGAAAGCCTATGTTGGTTAGTAAGGATGTTTTTAAGGAATATAGTTCTTCTAGCTTACTTGAGATATTAGAGTCCAAGGACAAATAGAAACACAAACCGAAAAACATAACGTTGATATTTCGTCCCGATGTAAAAGGTTTAACCAATTAAACCCACTTAATGTTATTGGTTTCAAATGGTCAACTAGTAAAACTCCTTCAAAAATCCCTTTGTTTTTTTTTATTAAAAAGTACCTCTTGAGTCATTTAGCAATAATGATTTGTTCGAGAAATATAATTTCTTTGTTGTAGGTTTTGGGAGATGGATTTGAAAATTGTAAAAGACATAACTTTGGTGAGTATAAATATGTTTGAAAATTAATGATATATTTTGCAAAATTAATGTTTTATGTCCCTCTAATTCAGTATTAAACCCTGCGAACCCCATTATTCCAGGGAGTCCTCTTATTTGTGAGACAGAAAAAACACACATTTTGACTCTTGTTTTAGGTGTATATAGGGTATTTAATGATTTCAATTTTCAAACCACAGGCAAAATATTTTAATGATAAAAAATAGAAGATTCTAGATGCTATTGGAGAAGGTAGCAGGCCTGCAAGGATATAGAAGAGCTGAGTTTAAGGGTGCGCTCTACCTCAGCTCGGGCTTCAATAGCTATGTTGCGCAGCTGAACAGCGCTGCAAGAAACGCTTGCAGACGTTTAAGTCCTCTCAAATTACTCAGTTAACTTTTAAAAATCCTAATCTGAAGAGGGTTTCTTACTCCTTAGATTCAAATTTATGACTCAATCGTTTTGATTTTCTTCTAAAAATTCATTTCTATATGTAAAATACTTTAGAAAAAGCTTATTTTGAGCTATTTACCAGTCACTTCCCACTTAAAATAATTCTACTATTACCGACAATTTAAAACAATACAAGTCCACAAAAATAAGAAACGAGTAAATTAACATAAATATATTATCAATAGGTTAAGAGCTAAGCCGACAATTACGGTGATCCTAAACCCTTGCATTAGTGTGCAGCGAACAGGTAGAGCACTCCCTTAAAAAATAAAACATATCTAGCATGGTAAAATTAACTTATAGCCTGCTATAAGCCGTTCTTGTAAATCTAAATACAAAGTGAATCTCAATGAGTCACTAACATAAAAAAATTGTCATTCTTGATAATATCCCAGCACAGATGTTGTTTGGCGGTGTGGTCATTAATTAGGTTGATTTATCAATCTTAAATATCTTACTGTGTTTTTCAGGCTTTTAAATTTTCTTTAGCTACTCAATGCAGTTCCTTAAATCAACTGATAATCTAATTAATGTTTACTTACCCTGTGCTATATTGCTATGTATGTTGCCAGTTTTCATGGACATTGTTCTTTAGCCAATTTGGTGTTTAATTTTTGGATTTGTTTTTTATTCAGGAAATTTGAAAACTTAAGTATTTATGGCGGGCAGGACCACAGGGTCAGCAAACGCATTACAGTGGAATCCTCATCCGTCCTGCGCACAAAATCTGGTTTGGAAGACAATGTGATTATGTCGCTGTAGTTGCCTACAAATATGCCCTAGAGAAGATCCGATCATTGACAAGAAAATTATAAATGTCCTTTAGGTCAAAATGCAGAAAAGAAAGACAGCCCAAGCCAAAACGTTGTTGAATTAGTTTGCTAATGAGCAAGGCACTGACATTTCTTTACTATGTGAGCATGAACAAAGAACACTTCTCTGCAGCAGTTTTTGGATACTTTCGGCACTACAGCTATCTGGTATCTTGAGCTTAGGAAGGTCCCTGTCATCAAATCTGACTGAGGCTTCATGTGGGTAATGGAGCAGAGGTTTGACTTTCTCTTCCTAAAGCTTAACACCTGAATTTTTTACTTATACCTTTGCTTGCCCTCAGATTGCGACTGGAGCTTGGTCTTCATTATTTGCGAGAGATGCGACTAACGGACACAAACTCTCAATGGACCGTCCTATCTCTTGCCCTTGTGTGGGTGAAGCCTGCATGTGTGTACATATGGCCGACCCTTTGACCAGCCTCAATCCCTGAACAAACAGGGTATAATTCCAACACATGCTCTGTTCTAGGCCCAGTGGATTGTACTAGTTCCTTTGTCTTTGATGATATTTATTACAATTCAATGGAAGTTATACCAAAGGAGAAACAGAAAGATTCTCAATGTTGCTTCTAAACTACCAATACCCATTCCGTGTAACATGATTTTGGGCACTTGGTACAACCCACATTCAAAAATATGGGTACCAACATATACTGGTGAAGGTAATGAGGATTATCTAATTTTAGTCTGCTACTATAGTTTTATTTTACAAAGAAAACACATGATAGTCAGTAGGTATAATTTGAAAGAGATTGTAGTCAAATTGATCCTTGAGTTATAAGTTGGTTAGTACACAAAAATACCAAAAACAAAACAAGAAAAATTACTAACTCCAAGCGGAAAGCCTTAAGTGCAGCACTAAATTGAAACATTTTACTAAGTGATGTTAAAACAACTGTCATGGGAATACCTTGCCTCCATTAAAAAAATTGATTTACCTGTTAATTCTAATAATTATTAGGATTATTGAAAGTAATCCATAGACACAGTTTAATGGAGGCTGTTTTATCAACATTATAAAATATTTTTTGTCATACTGTAGCAAAGCATTTTTTTTTATACATGCATTGTGGGTCTATAGGTCAGCCGCTTAGAAAGCGTCCTCCTCGTAGCATTGGTGCGAGAGAGAGATACCGAGCTGTGGGAGTGAGACAGAATATGGCTCTTCCCCCACTCCACCACCACCCTTTATTTTATTTTACATTTTATTTTACCAAATCATATGTTTTCTTATAATTTTCCAAAGACTTTTGAATGACAATCATTAGGAATCAGCATTGAATATATAACACTATTATTTAGTTTTATATATCCAAAATAGCGTTGTATTCAACATTGAATGAATATACTGTAGTAGTGTTATACAATATAACACTACTATTTAACCGAAAAACAGTAAAGCAGTAAATACTTGATTGGCTGATTGGAGGAGTGGGGGATGTGCGTGCACACACCTTCTTTTATACGCCTTGCCATCCCGGGTCCAGAGGTATTACCATGAGTACTAGTCAATGGTACTACGGTGATAGCTTATAACTTACCCCATGTAGGAAATTCACTAAAAGGCCGTCACTAAGATGTGTGATCGTTACTTGCGATGGTGGCAACACCATTATAGGCTAATTGCAGTCGCGTTATTTGCGTCTTACACAATCGTGGCAACATCTGCGATAATCTCCTGCGATTATCTCAGCTTCCATGACTCTTTGTGATTGCGGCTATATCTTAATCGCGGCGAGATTCGTGATGATTGTCCGTTTATGGGCTGTTTTATGGGGTAAAAATAGGGTTTTCCCATTTTTGACCCTAAAAACGCAAAATTTCACAATTTCTTTCTAAACCATTCTGTAGAGCTTAAAAAACAAATAATTTAGTATATTGAAGTTTTATTATGCGCCTAACGGTTACGAGAAAAATTCAAAAAAGTTGTAATTTTAAAATTTCCCATGTTATTCTTATTGAGAATAAGTCAACTGTTGTAGTTTACTTGTTTATGAACTAATTTTGATCAAATTTGGAAAAAACATTAATTTCTTACTAAACTACAGTACCTTTTAACATTTTACATAAAAAACACAATTTTTTACCCTTCCTTGTTTCAGCAAACCTACTCGTTAAACTAATTCTATTTAAATAGGGAATAAATGTGATATTGTTAAGGAGACATTTTAGTGTAAGTCCAATCGGGCAAATGGAAATTCGCTAAGTCTGCAGGCTTGCCGCGGCGGGGGTATTTTATTGTTAGTTCTGTAAGTCCAACTGTAGAGGTTATGTTTTGTTTACATTTTGTTTCTTGTTATTTCAGTAATTTAAAACCTCATTTAACCAAATAAAACGATTTAATCATAAACAATAACTGGTCTTCTAGTTATATAACCATATAGTAAAGCACAAATCAAGAAAATAACCCTAAAATAATAGAAACAAAATGTTGTCCACCCCAGCGATCGGTGTGGACGTACATGAACTAGACACGAAAAACAAAGCTACAATATTTACAAATGGGATGAGGAGTCTACTTGTTTTGCTTAGTCTATGTTGCAACTCAGTGGCAGTTCCTTGCTTTTATTTATTAATTCGGCATGGAGAGGTTCCGTCGTGATTATCTGTGTGGATAACACCATTAAACAGATAATTATTCTAACTAATCTGTAGGGATGAAAATTAACCTCAAAATTCGTGTAACTGAGCAGTCAGACATTTTCGGCAAGCCTTAAATCCGTTTCAATCTGTTTTCGGTTGGGCCTGCGAGGACTGTTTTCCACAGCAGTACGAACTCTGTCGAATGTTCGTTGTCTGGCATCCGGTCTGACTTTGGTCGGCCTTTCAGCTTCCTTTTCAACGCAGAAGCCGTTGTTCTAAAGTTAGTAACCCACCGCATTATTGTTATACGCAACGGAACTTCAGTGCTCTGCAGAAAATGGTTCGGTTTTTTGCCGCACCCTGTACTGTATAACACTATGACTATATTCAATATTGAATACAACACTACATTGGATATAAAACGCTTAATAGTGTTGTATATTCAATGCTAACTCGAAATGATTGTCATTCTAAAGTCTTTGGGAAATTACAAGATAACATATGATTTAGTGAAATAAAACACGTTCAGCTTGCACGTGACGTCACTATCCACACACCTTGTGAAAAAGGCCATTGGCGGAGAGGGGAAACGTACCCTCCCTCTCCGTTACCTCCCCTACATGCGCTAAAAATTTCGCGCAGGTCGTTTTCTAAACGGCCGACCTATAAAGTATATTTTTGTCCATAGGGAATAAAAAGTATAATAAGTCAGCTGTAAACTATGATTATAAACAATCGCTTGTATCAAAAGTATGAATAGGTTATTTTAATCGCTTGTAGCTTATTGTTGCAATCGTAAAAGAGAAAACTATTGAAAAACTTACTAAACAGCTGCTGGATTGCATCAGCAAAATTGAAAACAAGTTGTAAGTCGTTATGAGAGGTTATTTTTACATGAAAAGTATTTTATTTTCTTACTAGTTTGCTCAAATAATGGGGCAATATGATGAAAAATATAGTTCATCACAAGGCAAAAGGTGTCTTTTCAACTATCCCTCATTTTCCTACCACGGCGAAACAAGCTCAGGTTTAAAAGAATCACTTTACGCCCTAGTGATGAAATATACTATTTCCTTGTAAGGATAGTTAATTTGATGTTATTTGAACTATCGAATACAATCATGCACTCTGCACAATACTGTAGACTTGTATACTTGTTATTTTGTGGTACTATCATGTGAATTTCACTGAGGTGATTGGATATACACTCAATAATAATAGCCAGCTTGTTTTACACAATTCCTGAAAAAATATTATTAACTAACTTTAATTGTGTTTTTGCAGATTTTACAAACGCCATAACAATATCCATGAAAACAGCAGCTAAGCAACCCTACAGCCTGTTCTGTATGTGGGCTGGCCCCATACCAGTAATATTTGTACAGAAACCACAAGATGCTCAGGTAAATAACCTACAAATAATATGTATAGATTAAAAATTAAGATTTATAAATATAAGAGTAGTTTATTTTCTAAAAAAAATGTGCACATCTGTAGCTGTTACCCTCACACCTCACACTCAAAATTATATTTTTGTAACCAGATCACAACAATTACGTCAATTTATATCGGGTGCTTATCAAAATAGTACAAGTAAATCTACTACATTAGTACATAATATTTTTGTAATGATGTAATGTTTCCAGATAATACTGACCAGTTCTAAGGCACTAGACAAGGGGCGAGAGTACAGATTTTCCCAATTTGCTTTTGGTGATGGTCTTATAACTGCTCCAGGTATACAAGAACAAGCTGCTTTCAATTTACTTTTAAGTCTGGATTGATTAACATTCTAAATTAATGCAATACCAAAATACGAATTGAAAATATTGAAGTTTTCGAAATATTAATTAGCTAATGAAACATACCTTACTTGTACAGTTATTTTCCTCTGGTCAACAACTAACAAGTAGCCTACACTATAGTTTTAAAACAGAATTCTTTGAAACAGGTGCTAAGTGGAAGATAAGCAGACGCAATATGAACCCTATATTCCATCGTCAAAACCTCAATTACCTAACAAGAGTGTTTAATCGCTCCAGTCAACAGCTGGTGGAGGATTTAGCTAGTCATGATGATGGGAAGGTGTTTGATGTGTTTGACTCTTTGCTGAAGGCATCTGTATCCTCTGTTTGTAGTAAGTATCTTAATTAACATGTTTTCTACAGATTAAGTATCACATATGCATTACCATACCAGTAATTCTCACAGAGCAGGTTTAAATATTTGGTCATTACACTAAAACTTGGTGTCACTGGGTTGTATAGTAAAATCCCGCTAATCCAACATTCATTGGTCCAAAAGCCAAAGAAAATATTTAATGCATTGTAAATGATATTACTGTACTGTACCATGTTCAGCAAAGCTGGGAGCCATCGGTAAATGTCGGCAAAAAGTCAAAACATATGGTTCGAAACTGGGCCCAGCTGTCCTTGATCATTGGGCTTTTACTACTGTTATGGAAGAATAATTGTGTACAGTATCATGTATTTATGTAGCTGACAGGATTCAAATTGTGCTATTGTTTGGTTTTAAATTTCATAATATTAGACCACTGATTACAAAATATATTTCCAGGTATTTTATTTGGCCTTGAAGGTCAGAACAAGATGGACAGCAAAGATTTTAATCTTGGAAATATGATCGTTTTTAAGTAAGCACTTTTAAGTTATAGTTAGAAATGGTATCATTTGAACATCTACCAACTTAATTTAATAAGATAAGGGTTTTCTGGGTAACATCCCTTTGCCACCTGTCATATTTAACCGATGTTAACGATTGAGTTTTCAGTGTAAAGCTTCTTATGATCTAGAAGAGTGATGAGGTAACTAAAAGGGCCATTTACTTAAGGTCTTGACCCAAGCATTGATTTGTTTCTAGAGTTTGCTTTCAAAGATCCAGTGATCCTTACCATTTTGTTATATGGAAAATCTACCCTTTTCCAGCATAGAGTTTTTATTGCATCCAAAAACCTATTTTGATTCAAACTGGAAACTTTGTTTATAGAATATGTCAGTTTACTTCAGAGAGAGCATTCCGTCCATGGCTGTGGAGTGATCACGTTTTCTACTACCTCTACAAAAATAAACTACAGGAACTAGAGAACATGTGGGATCAGTTTATTAATAAACCAATGAAAGTAATTGGTATATGAATTCTTTATACTGATAATTTAACCTAGTTAGAAATATCACAATTAGTTCGTAGCAGGTAATTTATTGTTTCTCTTTTTGTTTAGTGTTTGAATTTTAATTTAGTAATACTGTAAGGTACGTTCTGAAAGTAAGTTCCAGTGCAGATATATACTACAGAAATTTACTTTAAAAAAATCTAAAACCCATACACTATTTTTGTATATAAATCCCGTGATTTTCCAGGTATTTTTCATATGGTGGTACAAGTTTGAGTATACCCGCCAGGTAGAATGCTACTTGTAGGCCTACAGTATAGTCTACCACGAGGTAACACATTCTTTCAGATCTTCAATGCTGTTTAACCGCTGACTGCCAAGAAAAGACAACAGATGCAGAAACAAATTAAAACTGCTCGGAGCGAGGTTGGTCAAAGGATGGTCAAACACGTCCTAACCAAAGACCTGCATTTGAATATGGTCGGCATTGTCGGGAATGAAAACCACTCCTTTTGTGAGCATTCCTCGGCGCTTATTATGTATTGTCATTGCTTATTATGCGGTGGTTTTTGTGCCGTTCGGTAAGGGTTTTAGGTACCCAACGAGCGCAAAGTGCAAGAGCACTAATCACAAAATTACAGTGTTCTTTAATCTTCTCAACTGTAAGAAGCAGCTAGTTCATCATTCCCAACAACACTTCGTTACTCATCATGGACTGTATCTTGCCCTTCTTTGAACTGTCGAACTTATCTTCTCATCATTGAATCACCCATCACATTTTCTCCATATTCCTCATAGATTTTTCGGGAATGTCAATTGTTTTGACATTTTTTGCATTAAGAAAACAAATCAGCAATTGAATTTTCCAATTGGCAGGATTCTCAATTTACGCAGCCATTACAAGCAAGCGCTACAAAGTGCACGACAACTATAAACACAGAGTAACTGCCATGCATGTGCTGAACTGGGATCGCAACGCTACTGCAAACAATTTTGGAAACAGAACTTACTTTCCAAATGTTCCTCATGTTTAGCATCACCCTCTTTTTTATATCAGCAAATATATTTTCAGGATGTATGTAATTAGTTTATTACTGTGAACACAAAGGTTTTTTATATTGAGTTTTTACCCTAAGGAAGGTTGCAACTAAAGCCACTACATCTATAAAATGTGCTATATATTGTGTCTTACAATCTAACTTCCAAGGTCTGAATCAATTTAACTTGTGAAAAATAGGGTTAAACATTGCTTTGGGTAAGTATATTACAGTAATATCAAAGTCGGCCAGTACATTTAGGTTATGTGTTACTCAATACTCTGTATGGATATAAAGCTATTGACTAAAAACTTGTATAATTTTAATATCACACTTCTTTTAGATATACGTGATACTTTAGTTAACATACTTAGAAAGAAGATCTGCATACTTTTTAACAGTTAAAAAGAAAAATAATCCTTGAGATCTAAAATTATACCTTGGAACAATTTCAGAAAATGGTGAGCTTTTGACAGTGCCAGAAGCATACAGTAACATCATAAAAGAGCACAATACATTCTCTGAAGTCGACTTGCATGCTGAAATGAAGACCATCCTTGCAACAGTGAGTTTGTTTTAATCTTATGCTGTTTATTAATTTACAAAATGATTATATTCAAACTGTCCTCGCTAAAGGAATGGCTGACTTACTTCAATAACAAATAAACTACAAAAATTATCTCACTCCATTCTAAATTAAGTGTTCCAACCAGTAGTTCAACTTCATCTCGTACAAACAGAGGTCTATTTATTTATACAGACGGGGGCATCACAAATAGAAAAATGTCATTTTTTTTGTATAAGTAAAAAAACTCAACTTTTTTTTATTTCAGGGAAGTGACACAACAACTCTAGGCGTTAGCTACTGTCTGCTTCTGCTTGGAACTCATCCGAAAATTCAGGTATTATATTGATACCAGGGAGTCAAAACAAAATTTAGGGATTTTTTCACTAAAATGAAATATTTTTTTATATGAAACATGAAAGGTACTTGGAAACAAATCAATAAAGATGGCAATTAAAACATCATCTTTATGGTGAATTAGGGATGCATTGCTTGCAAATCCACATTAAAACTACATTGGCTGTATTCATTACTGGTGCTAACTAATTGTTATTCAGTCACCCCTGCATAGAAGATTATAGAAGCTTTGTCCATGGGCTTTGAAAGTTTCAGTGCTTGTTTATAGATTGCTTGACTATTGCTTATGAAACACTAGTACGGAACTGGCCTAAGTAATTGTGGATTCATACAGAGAAATCTTATAAGTTTATAGAAGCTTTAATTGGGCATGGGTTTTTAAAGTTTCAGTACCGGTACTACTTTGTAGGGGTCCATCCTTCACTTGACGATTGCTTAAGAAACACATGAATGATTAAGACAGAGATGTTTTTGAATAAAATGTGCTGACCTTAGATCAATTCTGTTAAATACTTACACTTATGCTATCCCCATACAGTCCAATAACTTTTATTTGAGTTGGATTGATGATACCACTTTTTGTACTATTCAAACTTTTAGCTTGACGAAGGTACCAAGTTTTACATAGTATAGTAGAAGAAATGTAAGGTTATGCTATTAGACTATAGTACATTTAATGCAGTAAGTATTTCAACACTGTCCTGTATCAGCTGATTTAGCCTTATCCTACAGTACTTCTAAGAATTTCTTCTATCTACATTGAAGAAACTCATATATTTTAATATTTCAGGATAAACTGTACAACGAGATTACCAGTTTGCTGAGTTCAGATAATCAAGATATTACAATTGAAGATGTAAATTCTTTGCAATTCCTGGATCAAGTTATCAAAGAGAGTTTAAGACTATCAACGATCGTCGTCGCCTTTATAAGGACGTTCAGTGAAGATATAAAATTGAGTATGTTAAATCATTTTTGTGTTGAATTTATAGGAAAGATATTTTGTTCTGAAAGACTCTTAAGAGTAAAAAAATCCAGTGAACAAAAAGCACCCCTCCAACCCCTCCCCCCCTTCTTAGCAAACAAAAGGTAGTCAAATATAATAATCAGATTGCCCAGAGTAAGTAATTTATCGATAGATAACATGGCAGGAATCTGTTTTGTTGTTAAAGTACCCTACATTTGAATTCATTGTATGTACCTACATTTTTGACTATGGATCTCAGCCTAGCTACCATATTTTTGGGAACCTGATTAGCTTGAAATAATCATGGTATCAATTGGGCATTGCTGAACTTTGAAGGTATTTGCAATATGATAAACAACTTCAAGTGTATACTTAAAATTACTCGTTACTAAATTATTAATTAGATCAAATTTAGAGCCATGACGATTGAAAAAAGGTTGTACAGTGACCTTAGCGTTTAAAAACATTATGGTGGTATTAAACCTATTGTAAAAATTTAATTACTTAAAAAAATGCAAACATAAATAACATTTTTACGCTAGCATTTCCAGCATTTAATGCGCTAATTTTGTGGCCTTATCAGTGAGTTATTAAGTTTAAAATGGAAATCACAGAAATCAATTAGATAATATGTTTAATTTTTTACAGCTGAACACACCATTCCAAAGGGAGCTAGTGTGATGGTGAGTGTTATAGGACTTCATTTTGACCCTGAGGTTTACCCAGATCCTTATGAGTTCAAACCAGAACGGTTCACTCCAGAAAACTCAGCAAAAAGGCATCCATATTCATTCCTACCATTCAGTGGTGGTCCACGAAACTGTATAGGTAAGTTATAACATGAAAATATAGTTTACTATTTTAGTTTAGTCCTATTTATTTTTTTAATAAATAGGATAATTTATCTTGTATATCGCCAAGTCATTTATAGCAGTAGTTGATGAGATACCTTGGTTTCGAAGCTCTTGATAATCAAGTTCACTCAGACGCATGGTCAATCCTCTTCATTAGGGATGATGTGATGATTTGTCCTACAAACACGGATCGCACACTAACAAAAACTTTATTTAAAAACTGGCGGGGCTATGATTAAAATGTTCTATCACTCAATAATTTTTATATAGAACTAAAAATGTATGCATAAAAAAATTGTATAAAACTCCTCATAGCATGGCAAAATTAGCCTACTTTAGAGTGAGTATACATTTGTTATTGTTAACACAAAATATTAGGATTGTATATATTTATTTTTTATACTGAATTGAACCTTAATTAAATTTAAGTAAAATATTACTGTCTCTATATATGTTGCATTTTTTTCAGGAAAGCAGTATGCAATGATCTCTATGAAGATAATGTTGGCTTACATATTGAGAAAATATAAGGTGCATGCGAGAGATAATCTTTCAGATCTAAGATACTTTTTTGCAATTGCTCTCAGATCTATTGACGGCTACAAAATAAGCTTAGAGAGAAGAAATAAATAAATCCAAAATCAATAACTGTTTATTTTAGAAATGGCTTTAAATACATTAAAGTTTTCAAAGTGTTTTACTGTGAGATATTTAGATCTAAGTATTAATCATCAACTGAACAGCTCAGCAGGCTTGTATGAGCTATGACATTATGGATTGCCTGTTTGATTGAGATATACCACTCATCAGCTATTCATGCTGAAAAACCAATGTTATATGGCCATTGAAGTGTTAAAAAAGTACAGTCATTTGTAACTTCTGGTTTGTTCTATGATACATACTCAACCTAGATAAGTTGATAATTATTTATTTTGATAAATTTTGCACTTCAAACATATGGTCTCAAATATGTAATGACTTACTTTCTACTCTTGTTATTATATACTATTTCCTGAGCCATTAAGACAAACAATAAGTGATACCCAAAAAATAATAGTGTTTGATAGGTTTACATTACAGATGCACAGTTTTGATTAATATTTTTATTTTAAACCCAACTACAACTAACATCAATCTTTTCTGTGATGTTGTCGTCCTCGACGTACACTGAGGGAGGGAGAAGGAATGGAGACGAGTAGTTTGTGAATGCCATGTAAACTCCATGTTCCCTGAAACATATATAAGCTATTAACACATTAGCTAACACAATCATGCTTTGTGTATGTTAGAGGGGTTGAGGTTAATGCTGATGGATTAATTTATTTTTGTTCTACTCCAGCGAAACAGGCTGCTTTCAATACATGCTTTGTGAGGCTAAGGTAGCTGTTTTTCTCCCTAGGGAAAAAAAATTAAAAAGAGTCACTTTTTCCTTTTTCTTAGGTACCAAGAGAGTTATATGAGTTCCACAAAATAAGCATGTTAAAAAAACAACAAAATTACAATCAACAGAATTTAGACTCATGCGTCTTTGATCCAAACCTTTTCTACATAGTGCTTCGCTGTGTAAATACATGAATTATTATGGATATCGTAAAATTGTTTGTCAACTACAGTAAATAACCACTAACTCAGGAGAGATGGGTTCCCCCAGCAGAATTAGTTCTTCTGTGTTGGACACTTTACAGAAGCCATTGGTGTAGAAGTTCCAACTCCAGCAGGCAAAGCCCCACAAGCCCACAGGTGAAGTGATTGACTCGGCAAAATACTCAACTGCTCTTACGTGGTCACAACTGCGGTCTAAGGAACATTTAAGACATACCTTTAAAGCTGTATCAGCCAAAAAGTTTACTTATCGTAATAAAATATGTTTTCTAATTTCATTTAATCAGATTTACACTACAAATTTAATAACTTTAGAAACATGGTAATATGTGTACATTAGTTACAGTAGGGTCTCCACTATCTGATGTTCAGCTATAAAGACTTTTGGTTATCCAATCCTCACTATGATTCAAAAACTCATAAATGACATTGAATTGCTGTGAAATTTCTAATGTGTAGCTACAATATACAGGGTGTTCAAAAAAGGTGGGGACGTATTTTACGTACTGATTCCTTGGGCCAAAATAAATAGAAAATCAAGAATAAAAAAAAATATATAATTTTGTTATATCCGCCATTTTGTATTTTTTACATAAAAGATTTTTATCTTTAAATTTTTTTAACCAATCCTTATGAAAATTGGTATGTATAGAGAGACCCATCATAGAAAAAAATTCATCTTGATTCAACTTAAAATTTCATAATGGGGCCATTTTAATTTTCTAAACTCAAATAACTAAAAAATGGCTAATTTTATGAAAAAATGTCAAGATTACTTTTATTTGGCATTTTTTAATTCCTATCAAATGATACCAAGTTCAAAAAGAGCAAATAAGAAACAGCTGAAATATTATTGAAATGATTTTTTGCATAGTGTTTGATACATACTGCAGTTACAACCAGGCTGGTTGGCGCCATTGTTGAGGTAGACATCGATGGTTCCACCCACCGCCTTCTTGCCCTTGTGTCCCATATTGCTGTGGTACACGTCCACAAACATTGCGTCCCCAGGGTCAATCAGGGATGCCAGTGAGTTGGTCCAGTCGTCGAATAATGGGAGAGCTGGATCCAATCCTGGGAATATAACATTTGCATTTGAGTTTGAGTTTTGGGTACCTCTGAACACATAAAAGTAGTTTCTGAAGTGATTACTGTGTGTGTGTGTGCGTGTGGATGTGTACAGAGCTACACACTACGTCTGTGGTCCGATTCTGATGAAGTTGGTATGGTGGTATCCATAGTATTTCTAGGTGTATTTGAACTTTTTCAATTTTTTTTATAAAAACCCATAGAATAACAGAAAAATTGGATTTTTACAATATAAATTTTGATAGACATTTAGTATTTTATAGTCCTTTTAACCTTGAATAAATTTGCGCAACCCCAAAGCTTTAAAAATTACTGTTGTTTTTGCATACCGTATTTATTGCATATTTTGTGATTTGTTTTCATGTAGCCTAATATCATAAATTAATGTTTTTCTCATTAAAGTACTCATCAGTTTACTGATGTAAAGTAATAATTATAAGTTGGTGTCAAACAGCTGGTCCATGTAAGGGATCTGGATATGAGACTGTACCTGTTAGTCTCGGCACTTTGCCAGACTTGAGGTTGGAGGCGACTGTGGCGGCAGTGTGTGCTCCGAGACTGAACCCCACGATGTGTGTGTTGTTAACACTGATATCGCTGCGTGTCTGGTACAGAAGGTCCAAGAATTCCGCAGCGCAGTGGCCCACAGTGTCCACATTGTGTGCCGCCTCCCAGTAGCACGGCTCGGCAGCCAGTGGGCTCCAGTCTACTGTCACAATGTTGTACTCTCCATGCTTGAAGTACGCTGCAGCATTCACATACAAAACACGGATAAATCATAACACAGTTTCAATATGGTTTAGTGGGCACAATTCTTTAATTGATAAGTTGAAAATTTTCAATTTTCCCAAAACAGTGTTCAACATAATCATAATCATAATAGTAAATGGCATCTTCAGTAGCTTAGGCTGACTCCAATTTAGCTATAAACTTCGCAATGAATTTATAATGAAACTAGCAGAGTACCCGTCCTTCGTACGGGGTTGGCATATAAGTATCAAATGCTTATAGCAGTTATGAGTGAGGACATGGTTTAAGAAATTTCGGTTCTTTTTGAAGTTCGTTCGCTACGCTCTTTCACCTTTAGGTTGGAGCTCGTTCGCTGCGCTCACTTTCCTTCAGGTTAGCTCGTTCGCTACGCTCACTTGCCTTCAGGTTAGCTCGTTCGCTACGCTCACTCGCCTCCAGGTTGAAGTTCGTTCGCTACGCTCACTCACCTTTTGGTTGCAAATTAGCTGTTGTCATAAATGTAAAAGAAATAATAGTGCTAGTGCTGCACCCTGTTGGTAATCGTTGTAACTTTAATGCTATTGAACATCACAGAACAGAACCAACTTGTTTAATTGAAACAGCTGTTAAGATTCAATAATTTCATTTCTCATAAGGTTAACATGGGAAACTCCAGAGCCACTGGGGCGGAGCCCGAAAGGATTTTTGGGATAAAAATATGCCTATATGTTAATCGGGAATGTGAGCTATCATCATGCCAAATTTCAGCCCGATCCGACCAGTAGTTTTCGCGTTTACTTTTCCCATACACACCCACAGACACCACTTCTTTTTTATAATAGTATAGATTACAATAGATTCTGACTGCATATAAAAAAAAGATTGTTTGTTAAAAATTTTAAATTTCTAGTTTACCACCTGTTCGTAATGATCTGATGAAAATTCAGGTGGTGTAAATCCAATTTTAATAAATATCATGTTTTTAGAGAAGTTTGGTTCAGTCTCACGTATAATGGAAGTTTTGTTTAATGTTAAATAGAAGTAAGTCCCTTGTTCATTCCATCTAGCATAATATAACACAACTGTGCCAATATTGTTGTAATATAATTTTATTCCTCCACATAGAACAAAATGAGCTGGTTTAAACCAAACCAATTTTCTTTTATTGGCCTTTAGACTACGTACAATCACAAAAAAACAAATTTGGAGTTTTTTGTTGTTTATTAAAAATTTGTTGAAGTCAAACTTTTAAAAATCAGAAGATAGTAGGGGTACTAGAAAAAAACACGTATCATTGACTATTGGATACAGAAGAAGACATCCCATCTATATGGATCAGCTGTCGCCAATTTTTTACTAAAAAAGAATGTAGTTGTGTGAGCCAATAGTCAATGCACGTATTTAACTAAATTTATTTGTGAGTCCTCTCTTGTATATTCTATCGATGGTTCTTACATCATTAGACTTCCAGTTCTCCCTCTGACTGACCTGGCCTTAGCTCCATGTTAGGCGAGTAGTCCTTGTTGCCAGTATATCCATGTATGATCACTTTGAGAGGAACTCCCTGTACAAACTTGGCTTGTCGTAATGTCTCTGAGTCTAACGGGTCCAAGCGTTGGGGAGAGTTTTGAGTATCTCTGAAAAGTGTTAGTTTATGTAATTATATACTTATAAATTGTAATCCTTTTTATAACATTTATTACAAATCTAAAACGCTTTTTAGATACCTCTGGGTGTGTGTTGTGATCTAAGGGCTGTGAAGTTCTGTTACAGCTTTTAAATCACACAAGCCAGTAGAGAAGGCAATGATCGGTCAGTGACTCTCCAACTAGCAATGTTTGGCCCATTTGCCCGAGATGCTGAGCTACAACGTTTGGTTTATGGCCCTTGGAAATGTCCAATAAGTCTGGTGTCATATAAAGATAATTTATTAAAAAAATTATATCCTTCTTGTTCCACCACAAGTAAGCTGCTGAACACTAAGGATACAACATACAACAAAAAACAATTTAGGCTAAACCTAAAAGAATTAACTAATTAAATCTACACAATAATTTTGATCTTGATCAGTTAGAGTATAAATGGTTTCTTAGGATTGATATTGAAGTTTTCAATGTTACAATGGAAATTTTCTTTAGAATGTTTATAATTGCACGTTTGTACGACTTTTTTATACGCTTTTACAGTTCTTCTCCACACAATAGAGAACAACAACTGTAGTCAACCTCAAAACAAAAACGTTCTCACTTTGTCAAAACAAACTTACAATTTAATCTAATTTGTAACTGGTATAAGTTAACCTATATAAATACAACCTTAAGAGTTGATGGCTGCTTTAATGTTCAGTTAGATAATCTTCTTAATCCAACAATACAGCAAGGAAGAAAATGTAAATGTTATCTGAAGCACTTATATAGCTTAATAAAATTTGAATTTTACCTAGTATAAAGGTAAAAGGAGATGTTTGAGTTAGGGCATGTACCATCGGCACTGGGACAACCATCCTGGCGGAATAAATAGTTTGTCACAGGCTGCATTATGGTTCCTGTCCATCCTGCTAGGGTAGTCCCAAGCTGGGCAACTGTCACAGAACATATGTATTATCAGATGTTATAGATTATATAACATAAAATTAATAAATTGGTACTGAGATCCGTCTTTGCCTCAAGCCTAAAAGGCTGATATGTCACCTATCATGAATAACCAGTGTAGCCATAAATTTTCCAGTGTGGGAATTCACCATCGTCTAGGGGAAAAACATTCACTTTTTAATATATGGTTTTTGGAAAAAGCACAGTTGGAACACCGTACATTCTCACCCCAACTAATCATGTGAGCATAACTCAAGAAGATAGGTGAAAACTGAATTTTACAAATATGCTACCTGATGGAATACTCTCTGGTGTGGATTAACGTCCACACGAGTGAGTACTACGACTATCCACAGTACTATCCTGATAATTATACCAATTCGTATATACCAAGGCGAAAATGTGGTTCGGACTCCACTATAAACTGTAGGTCCCTTAGTTGCCATTAGCTGTATGGGCTATTAATTAACAACTGTGTCTAAGGAATATGTCAGCCTTAGTTACTAACAAGACTACAATATCGTGCCACTCATCCTACACTTATCTCCATTCATCCTTGGCTTAAAATACCTACCTTTGTATGGTCGCCAATTCAAAGTAAAGTATTACATTATATTTATCATCAAAGGCGATACAAATTAAAATTTACTTGGTAAAGAGAAATGGCTGTTTTTCAAGTAGCTAATTCATCTTAGTCAGGGTTCCGTAATGGTATGTAGTAGTAAGTAGGTGTAATGCAAATTTACTCAAGAAGGTGAGTATCAGTGACAGGGGGCCTGACTGTTCTTATCAGGATGATAACAGAGTTCAGTAGTCAACATTACCATTGCTAATGGCTCTATATATCATGTGACGACAGCTGTGACTTTTACTACTCTTTAACCAGCTGTCTAATTTGATTTATTAGAGGCATAGTTCAAGTCTCTGGTTGAAGTTTGGGAAGCAGGATGGGCACTTGAGGTTGAAATATCTTTCAAACCCGTAAACAAAAACAAATCTGTTGAAGAACAAAAGTAAATAAATTTAACTTGATTGAGCATTGTGTTTAAGGAATTCAATTTACACATTTTAAAGTAACTATGTCTGAGATTTGGTTTTCATTAATGTGTACAAAAAAACATCTGTACTACTGAGTTTTACAATAATCGCCCAATACCAATTCATATGATTTTCCAAAACATGATTTTGCCAAAACAAGCAAATATCCCGTTAAGCTTAACAAGAGGACTCTAGCATTTCTCTTTATGTGCATTCATCTCCAGTCATACTTGACTTAAAATGCCTACATTTGTATGGTTGCCATTTCAATGTAAAGTTTAAAAGTATTAAGAAATTTGGATTTTGTTCAAAATTTAATTGTTCAAACAGCTGATCTTTAAAAAAATTGTAAAGTCATGCAACTATTTAGGTCCATTCACACACATCAGTCCAGTCACTCAACTAACTGACGGACAGTTTACTACCGCTACAAAAATCTGGTGGAAAACTAAATTTACATAAATGTTTCTAAATCACCAATGAAGATTGAGACACAACTAATCTTAGAAGAGCACAGTTGGATTTTTTGGGGAATTTTTATATGGGATTAACAGGAAAATATAAAACATAGATGTGTTCCTTGGTTATAAATCTACGTGAAGAAAACAGTATAATGGAACATAATACCATTATTAGTTTTCATTTTAATACAAATAGATAACCACCAAATAAATTAATCAGCAACAAAAGGGATAATTTCATACAATTACAGAAACTTTGGTGAATTGTATGACTTTGGGTGGGACTTGTATGAACTTTTTTTGGTAGGCGTGATTATTTATTACACACAACGACCCAAAAAGAGAAATCTTTGTTAGATTTTACTAGCTGTTACCTAACGGGGCTTCACCCCGTTTGACTTCAAAAGTATATTAATAAAACTATCGATTGGTTACGTTAAGCGGAAATAAACAAAACAGAATACAGTAATACAATAGTTATTTGTGTAACTAGTGGGCAAAGTGGCACTTTGCTGCACACGAGAGCAATGCGGCGAGTGCGGAATGATCTTGAGTGCAGCAAAGGCCTTTTGCACTCGTGTTACACATTATATTTTTCCCACAGTCACTACAAAGCATATAAATAATTAGTCTTTCAAACATTATACAACACGTTTTTAGGTTCAGCTGGCAACACAAATAGGTGCCCTAGAGAAGGTAGTACCCGGTCCGTATCGCTCCGCTATTTTTCCTCGGCAAGAAATGTGCTCCGCGTTTTGAGAATATAGTTCCGTATGTTTTAGCGAATTTCCCATATAGGGAATAAGCTATTACCGTAGTACTCATGGTAAGACCTGGACCCGGGACCGATTTTTTTTTTCGTTTTGAGGTCCCTAGAGGCCAAAAACACCATCCGTTCAAATTCATATATATATATATATATAGCACTTCGGAGTGCTACAGACTGCTTTTGCTGCAGAAGGCAGCGGTGAGAATTATCACCTCTAGTGATTATCTAGATCACTGCCGGCCCCTGTTTCGGAGTTTGGACATACTCACCGTACCGTCTAACTACATCCTGGTTTCGCTGGTTTATGTTAAGCGACATGAGGCCTCCTTCACCACTAGAAGCGAAATACATGACCACTACGTAAGAAGCAGATCTAATCTGGACATCCCGAGGCGTAGGCTAGTTAAGACCTCAAAGCACTTCCCGGACTTAGCGTTGAAGATGTTTAATAAGCTTCCAACTAGGGTTAGACTGCTTGAGAAAAACCGCTTTGAACGTGTCTTGGTGCGGTGGCTAAAGGACATGGCTTTTTACTCAATTGACGAGTTTTTGCCGATTCACTCTCCTCCCTGCTCGCCATTTGTACTCTGTAAATATTAATGATAGTTAAATGTTTTCATATTCAATTTTATGTATGAAGTGATGTTTTAATTTTTTATTGACATGAACAATCCAGTCTTCTCTGGTAAAAGTTCACGACAGAAGGTAAAAGGTAAAAGGTATATATATTTATATATATATGTGTCCGTTAGCACGATAACTCGAGCAAAAATGATCCGATTTTGATTAAATTTGGTACAAACGTGTAAACCTACGTTTATTCGAACGAGTTCGCGAACCAGCATGATCGGACCATGGGAACGGGGGTTTATGGGGGGTTTTATGGGGTAAAAATGGGTTTTCCCATTTTTGACCCAAAAAACATCAAATTTTGCAATTTCTTTCTAAACTATTTTGTAGAGCTTAAAAAACAAATAATTTAGTATATTGAAGCGTTATAATGCGCCTAATGGTTATGGAAAAAATTCCAAAAAATTGCAAATTTAAAATTCCCATGTTATTCTTATGGAGAATAAGTAAACTGTTGTAGTTTGCTTGTTTATTAACATATTTTGCCCAAATTTGGAACATGTTTTTATTTCTTACTAACAATTAACATTTTACATAAAAAAACACTTTTACCCTACCTGTTGCAGCAAACCTAAGTATGTGTTAAACTGATTCTATTTAAATAGGGATGAATGTGATATTTTTAAGGAGACATTTTAGTGTAAATCCAATCAGGCAAATGGAAATTCGCTTAGTCTGCAGGTTTGCTGCGGCGGGGGTATTTGTAATTTGAAGTGGTTTCCGCGCTTAAAAAAAATGCTTTAAAGGTATTTTCTTGTTTATTAAGATTGTAGGAATGTTTTAAAAACGTTTAAAAGAAAAGTCCAGAAAGTTCAGAAATACCGAAACTATAAACACAAAATTACAGGTTAAATCGTAGTTATAATAGTCAATCAGCTGCTCTTAGTATTAGTATTTTTAAGTGTTGCCAACCTATTTCCAAGCGTACACGGATTACGTGCATAATAGAACCACGCTGTTTTGTGTTGTTTCGTTGGAATCCTGATGTGCGGCAAAGTATAAACCGTACGACAAAGTATAAACCATACGGCAAAGTATAAATATGCAGCAATTAGCAGCTTTCTGTACTATAAACAGTACAAGGAAGCCAACTTTGTTGGGTGACTGTAGGAAAACAAATAATCACACCTGATTTTAATAAGGTTAATAAATAATTGAAAGAATAACAAACAAATAAGTACAGCTGAGGTATTTTTAACATTAGGTATATGGAAAGTTCCTTTATAAAGGAATTAAAGGGGAATACAAAAATACACCATGTAAAATCAATGCTGTAAATTTTAAGTTTACACGTTTATTGCAATTTGTTTGACTTTCCTTATAAAACTCCATAGTTTCACATCTGCTTATCCAAGATAATCTTTAGCTCTTAACAGTTGAAGGATGATCAATTGTAATGTAAAATTAATGGGAGATAGTACCGGTATGTGCCAGTTTGCTTATAGTGTTTTCCATAAATAATACTTATTACTATAAAAATGCTCAGCAATTATTAACCCTACAATTTTAATCACAGTTTCAAAATATCAAACTTTTAAAGTAGTTTGTGTAATCTTACCAAGCCTGAAAAGTATGAACAGAGTCCTAAGAAGGTGCATGGTTGAAGTGACCAACAGTAATCAGTGTAACTGACTTATCAGCCTATTTGTCAACCAGTGACAGGTGTTGAATTAAGGGGGCATTTTCCAAAAGAAGTGTCTTATCCAAAACTATAAATCTAACGGACACTTCTGGTTGTCCGATTTCCTATCAAAGTAGTAATTAAACTGTCTAAATTTTCTGAGTAGTAGAGGACAAAGACATCAATCACATTTAGTTTACATGTAAGAATATATTCAGTAGCAAGTTGATTTACTCATCTTTCTTCGTGTCCATTAAGCCTGTGGTATGTTGGCTCTATTCATGGAAAACATTAGCTCAATTAATTGGTCAAGTAGTTTTCACGTGATTGACCATGTAACGTACTCCAAACTTTCACATTTTATAATATTAGTTCCTTCCACCCAAGTCATTGGCTTGATAGGTAACTTTTAATGCACTAAAAATAAAAACATGGTAATCCGTTTCCCAGACATTTTTTTGGGGTAAAACAAACACAATACATTTCATAAACATTTTGCAACAAAAATATTAATTTGATAAGTAGTTACGCACTTAAAAAAAAAACGTACAACACCACAAATTATTTTTAAAATTAACATAAGCAAAACAAAAGAGCTGTAAACAATCCTACTTTAACAAGGGTAGTAGTTCTCATTGTGTATCACAGCTTTTTGAAACTATTTAGTTCAACACAGCTGTCATCATAAATGTAAACAAAAAAATAATATATGTCGGCCGCTTAGAAAGCGTCCTCCTCGTAGCATTGGTGCGAGAGAGAGATGCCGAGCTGTGGGAGTGAGACAGACTATGGCTCTTCCCCCACTCCGCTGCCACCCCACCCCCAACCTTTTATAAATATTAACAGCAATTAAATTATACAGCTGATCAAAATGTAAACAATTACGTTCTTCATAACTTTAAAAAATAGGTCCTGCAAAAAATATTGTATAGCCTAAACCGCATCAATATTTGAGCATCATGAAATCTTATTATATCATTGTGTAAGTAGTTCCATTTGGTAACACAGGATTCCAACTCCCACGACACCGGGGCGGCGCCGTGTCGGTGTCGAGTCGTGCAGTGTGAAAACGGCCATTGGCGGAGAAGGGGAACATACCCTCCCTCACCGTTACCTCCCCTACATACGCTTAAAATTTTGCGCAGGTCGTTTTCTAGGCGGCTGACTTTTAGTACTGCACTCTATTACTAAACCTTAACTTTTTAATGATTTTGAATATCATAGAACCGAACTAATTTGTTAAGTTGAAACAGCTGTCAAGATTCTAAGATTCTTTTAAAATATGAATAGTTTACTTTGAAATGGCAACCATACAAATATGGGTATTTTAAGCCCACTATAAATGGCAATGAGAGTTGGTAGAGCAGCGCGATCTTGTAGTTTTGTTAGTGACTAAGGCCCCCAATATCCATAAGGTACACACGGAAAGCTCCAGAAGATAATAATATGCCTATATTATTTTAATTGGGGAATATGAGCTTTTATCAAGCAAAATTTCAGCCCAATCTGACCAGTAGTTAATCGTGATTGAGCCCCAACAACTAAACACACAAACTCTCACATTTATATTATAGTATTACACTTCGTTGACAATATTTAAGCAGTTTTAGGGGAAGAATTCTATGACTTCCACTTGACCCTTATCTTTAAAATAATAGCTTGACTCAACAGCTGATTAAGCAACATACATTAAATACAAAAAAGTGGCGGGTGGGGGAGGGGGGCTTTCCCTCAAACCATATGAACAATATAATAACATATGACATGAAGAGACACTTACTTTTACAATATGTACAATACACAAGGCCGGCCAAGGACAAATAAAAAAAAAAAAAAAAATCTAAATGTTTTTTGTGTGTGTTTCTTTGTTATGTGTATAGTATTTTTAAATTTGACAACTGCAAGGGCTGAGTAATTCATGTTAGACGAGAAGAAATTCAAATAAGGATTTGGAAATAGGATTAAAACCCTGAAACTAGTTATCCCCTCTGGAATGAATGGGATTGATTGACGACTGGTTAGTTACCTTATTTAGGTAACAATCTATAGTTATTGGATTTAGGGAGTAATCTAATCTAATGGAAAAGTTATTATAAAACTTGAAGGGATTTTCCCAAGCTTTTTGATCAACCACTTAATGGTTTTTCATGATTCTTCTTATGAATGAAAGATAATTTTGAGAGATAGGGAAAGTCAAAGCCAAAACGTCAACTTTAAGTTTTAGTTTTACAGACGATGCTAACATTTAGAGTTTTTTAAGTGCATATAATTTGGTTTACAGAACATACTTAATACAGCCATAGAGTTCACTACTACCAAAATCTCTTTTCTCCCTTAATTTTTTATACTTTGAAGGATCAACTAGAAGGTCGCAGATTTGATTCCAAGTGGAATTGTTTCTGGACGCATGATACCATCTGTTATTGGGCCGTAAATATTAATAATTATGGTCTATCCAAAAGGTTGACTAGATTGTAACAAGACTAGCGTTTGGACTGTTCCAAATATAAAAAAAAAAAAAAAAAAAAAAAAAAAAAAAAAAAAAAAAAAAAAACTCTAAAGAAATGCTCATAGTGTAGAATGGAAGCACAGAAACAAAAAATACCCTGTGATGTGAAAAGGTCATTGAAGTGTCGAGTTCAAGTTTTATTTCAACATTGAAACTCATCCATATATCCATTTACATTCGGTCCAAAGATAGCACTGATTTATACAACTCTTCATTCACTTGGGAACAATATCCATATAACTTACTTGTGGATCCTGACTGAACAACTCACTTTATTTATTCATTTATTCATTTTATTCATTTATTTAGCACAGTCATACCTAGACAGGAATAAATCGGTTACTACGGGAGTTTTCAGAAATACGTATAATACAATTTGATTCGAGTCTTAGACATATTTTTTGTTGGCTAAAATCATCCTCAACCGTGTAATAATGACTGATGTAAGAATGATCAAGAATTATGGTGGTGGGTTACCAGATAATTTTGAGGGAAAGGGAATTGTGACGGCCTGGCATATTTGCCTCATTTTGTTGTAATTTGTTAACTTTGAGCTTAAGCTGATTGGCCTTACCCCCTAAACCTGGCCGTTGGCTATCACCAAATATTTGCTAGGTTGATGTGTCAACCGTATTTAGCAATATTGAATTTTATTTAACTTCACATAAGTCTCCAAGTGAACCTTAAAACTCATATTCCAATTCATTTCATTACTTTGTAACCCTACAATAATCCTAACCAGACGTCGTGGCTTGGCCGGATGTGCCTTGGAATGTGCTAACTTTGCATGCACGTGTGTCGCGATAAGCAATGTTACACTTCTAGACTCAGTTCCCCGCTACAATTAGTTTCATTAACGACCATTGTAATTATTTGGCTGCAGCACCTGTCAAGCAAATGTCCACGCGTTGAATTATGGGCTGAGCGCTCAGCGTGCGCTGATTGGCTGGCGATGGTCATGTGACCACGCTGAGGCTCTCGCTCGGACGATGCTGAAGCAATCAGATCGTGCCGGAATGTAGCGAACGTCGGTGGGGTCCGCGCGGGCGGTCTCCCCTTTCTTTTACTCTTACTCCTTTCTTCTGTAAATCCGTGTACGTTTTTAAATTCATTATTGTAATTCGTATTTTATTCGGTTAGTCGCGGTTTGTTTTGTAAATTGTAATGTGTTATTTTTAATCGAGGAACTTGTTAAAGATTAATTTTTTAAGGTCCGGGTGTCGTGAAAGCGTTGTGTTTTTTTTTGGTGGGGGACCGTTTATTAAGTTGAAGTCACAAAGTAAGCTTGAGCTCCATTAAGGACTCTGCATAACTTGTACTGTTGAGTTAGGCCTGTTCATTTGGCAGCAATTAACTCGTGAGGGATCCTGAGAGTCCTGGTACGGATGGTGTTTTTTTTTTTAAATGTTGGCGGGAAATCTTTCTGCCGGTGGTCCCCCTGTAACTCGGGTGTAAGAGTTTTTTTTTTGCTCGTACCTGCGTACGCTCGCCTAGCCTAACTTGCTAGCAGCTACCAGTTGTGCTTGAGCGTGGAGGGGAGTGGAAAGAGAGCGTCCCCTGAGCCTAATGTGTTTAGTGCTGTGAATGTGAGAGTACTCTTGCTCGTACCTGCGTACGCCCGCCTAGCCTAACTTGCTAGCAGCTACCAGTTGTACTTGAGCTGTAGGGGAGAGTGGTGAGAGCTTCCCCTGGAGAAAGTGACACGTGTCATGTTGATGTGAATTGTGAGATCTCAAGTCAGAACCATGGGTAGTTTGGTTACTGACAGTTGTAGAATGCCTGCCTGATTTATCAGCAGCGTTCTCTGGTGAATTCGAGCGTGGAATTAGTGACGATTGTTGTCTGTCTTCTGTTAGGGTGGAGAGTACGAGTTGCTGACCTGCTCCATGACGGCCTGGAGGGTAGCGAGCTGCAACCATGGCCTACGCAGACAGGGCCACTACTCATGTGAGGGGGGCTGACAACAACGGAAACGTCTGGCGGAGACCAGGAGGTTCCAGTGGCAGGTTTCAACTATAAACCAGCCACGAGTCACTGTTGGAGTGAATAGAGTCACTGTTGGAGTGAATAGCGCTATTGACCAGGGGACAAGCTATTGGTCAGGGACAAGCGGTACGGTCGTGAATTGTCTGAAATAATCTAAATCTTTCTAAACAATCCTTCAATTATACTGTTAGTTATAATAAAAATATGTGTTTCAATTGAACTAAACTGTTCAATTTACAATTATATTAAAGTTATTGTCACGACCAAACACACTATAATCCATAAGGCTGGATTGGTCGTGAAAAAACCCGCGATGGTCGTGAAACTTTGGTCGTGAAATTACGTGTTATTTGGCTCTGTTCTGGCGGTAGCCCTGCACCTCATGTTCGAGGATACAAAGTGGACTTCTAGGTTAATCTAGCAATTGAAATATCTTATAAACAAAAATTAACACCATGTCTACTTCATCGAATGACTACGTACGGTCATGGACACACCAAAAATCCAAAAAACGCAATCTTTCCTTTATTAATCTTGTAACTCCTCCTTTCAACTCGAAACGACCGGCACTACAATCCTGACGTACATCCCGAACTAGTCTCTAAAACCAACTGACTCCATCGATGCCAGGCTTGCCACTGTCGTGCTCCAAAGTTGAAAATTTTTCCCAAATGGCCGTGACGCCAAATCGAGGGACAGACTTATTTTGTCATGGTAGTCAGTTTGCAATGGCAATAAAATTATAATATGCTCCTTTTTTGTAAGTTTAATAACCATTTATGACATAAAAATATGGCTTTATATATTTCGGCATGAATAATTAGTCTAAAAACAGCGTGAAAGTTGGAAAATGTACCCTAGGGACACGTCATGGTCGTGAATTTCGAGACTTTAAAAATACGAAAAAAATACCTAGAACCTATTTAAAACTAAATAAATGTGTGTAACATGTTGCCCCCATCCCAAAAAATATAAAAACACATAATAATAAACTACAAATCCAGTATCTACGAAGTAAAAGGCCAGGGACATGAAAACGTACGTTTTTAAATTTTCACTCTCTTACCATGAGACCTACTGTAATAGCTTATTCCTTATATGGGAAATTCGCTAATACCCAGAAAAATGTTACAAATAACCCCTAAAAAGTGCATTCTTTTTGATGATCAGTTATGAAAATCCGAACAATCATCTGATCACTCTTAGGATCGAATTGGCAACCTTTACATCATCCAAAATCTCTAATCACTTTGCTAAATTATTTACTACTTTCCGGGAATTATTTGTTTGTGTCAAAATTGTAAATTATTGTTTATATATATATTTTTTTTTTTTGCCATTTTGTTAGATTTACAAAATTGTTGTTGAACTGTAGCACTAAATTTTAAACTGTGATGAACATCTTAGGAACTAAGATTTATTTATTAAGAACTAGATTTATTTTGTAGAATAATTAAGGACTAACATAACAAACAATTTTAGGAAATCAAGATAAAGCGCCTGTACATGTGATTTTCACAAGTTTTGTATGTTATGTGCAAATTATCATTATCATTATCATTACCTCTGACAACTAGATATAATGATGCAAAAAAATTGTATAATTATAATTCTGTAAAAAAATCATAGTTTGTCTTGTTTCACAACCAAATAATAATTGAAGAACACGTACCTACAAGGCTTGGAGTAGCATGCAGCAGGAATGCATACAATTGGATTAACTTCATTGCCAAAAGTTGTAATAAGGTTTATCTATGGCCGCCCCTCTAACAATGGAAGGAAGCCTGTGCAAATGTCACTCCGACACTGTCACCTTAGGTATGTAATTTATTTGCAAAAATGTGATACAAGTGACGTATTGGGGACTTTATTAGTCGCTTGATAACTTTATGAAGGGAGGGCCATAATTTGGTTCAAAACTCTAGCTAAGTTTAGTAAAATAGTTTAATGTCTTTCAATTTCAAACTATATCCTGTATTATGTTAACAATGATTGCGTTCTTCTAAAATGCCAAGTGTACGATTTAGTATTAGTAGTGTATTATTAGAATATCGGTAGTGTATGCACTGTAGTAATATACATCTATACCTTGTAACTTTCAACTCGATTAATTTTTGAAAAATAGTTAGACGATTTCTTGAACTTGTAAGGTAACTGTCTCAGCCATGTGAGAAAAAAACATTTGTAAATTTAGATATATTGATCTTATAAAGATTATTAAATTTATGTTTTTCCTTTATACAGCTAATATTGAAGATATAGAGCGAAATAGAGCTAACTTGTTTGCATTAGGATGTGGTTAGGTGTAATGAAAATGAATATTTACAAGTATTTTGTGGGTTTAACGTTTATCTTTTCAATCAAGAATGAAAATTGGATTTTAGCATGTAGAATTTGATTCTTTGAGAAGAGAGTTCTATTTGATTGAAAAGAGCACCATATGTTTACCATCTGACAAACGGAAGGATTATATACTAAGAGGGTTCTACCTTTCTACCCAGTCAATTCAAGATGGCGGCTAAACATGCTAATGTTTAATGTTTCTAAACATAGCCTACCTCTACAGTACAAGCTCTCAACACTCTAAAACTAATTTGCTTCTAATGATTGTGTGCTTTTTGTGCCCTTAACATATCAGAGCTTGCAATGGGTGGGAATAAATTAATGTTTAACTACTATTTAGAAGCTAAAATCACATGTGAAAAAGACTAATTTACGGATTTTCAAAATTATTTTGTAAATACTTAAAGAAACAGTTACAAAGTTTCAGTTCATCCAGGGCATATTTTGGATCTTTGTGAATATTTTACAGTTTTTTTTAACTCAATAAACACTTTAATCATGCCACAAGGTTCTTTTTTGTAGGACCATGATAACAGCCGGCGGGTGGAACCCTATAAAATATTCTGATATACCGTATATATTCATATATTCATATTCATTAGAGATGGGGATGCCACCTATGAGCATATTTTAACACAAAAGGTATCCAACATACAAATTAGGAAGAAAATTATTGTCTTTTAGTTTTACCAATTTTTTATTTCTCATAGTCAGTCATCAGTAGATGGTCTCCTTTTTGTTTTTGAAGATCGCCCAAAAGGTTCACCTGGATTTGTCTCCAAAAAGTATGTTCCTCGAGCCCTAAAAATCAAAGAAAAATGTATAGAGGATTTATAACACAATTAAAATAAAGTGATAAGTTTGGTACAGTAGAGTCCTGATAGTCCGAAATGGTTGGGACCCATTTCGGATTAAGCTAAATGTTTACTAAAATATACAACGTTTAAGTTGGCTACAGAATTCTTCGACGAGGTACAACTAACTGTTTGTCACACAACAAAAACTGATGACAACAGCTGAGGAAAATAATGTTAAACAAATTTCTTTTTCGGTTTCGGATTAAGCAGACTTTCGGATTACGGATGTCATTATTCATTGGGACACTCCACTGTAGTTGTTTCAGAAATTGTTTTTTTTTTTACCATTTATTACGATCAGGATCAAAATGACTAGTCATCTTCTAATCACAAAGCAAGGACTATAATCACTTTGCATTCCCTTTAAGTTTACGTCCTTATAAAAGTGCATAATGAATCAAGAGAGATTCAATAGTAATGAAAGTGTTGCATAATATAGCCTAGCTGAATGCTGATACAAAAAGTAGTCTCACTTTCCGTTCTTGATGTCGTTTGCCATTAAAATGGCGTTGTCTGAATTCTCTTTGCATTTTCCGCTTGAGAAATCGCTCCAAGAATCACAAGGAATGGCTTTGAATCCGTTTCCCTTCTTCAGAGCTTCCTCGTAATAGTAGTAAGCCCTTCGGTGGCTACAAACAGCTGGAAAAAATACAAAATTAGATAAGGTAAATTTTTATATGCTAGTAATAATAAATAGGGTATTGTCCAAACATTATGAAAATAAATAAGCCAAGGCAGTCAAATTTAAGAGTGGTTTTAGACACAGTTCCTGCAAGCAGGCGACCACTGGGCAGACCGAGATTGCGGTGGTGGGACCAAGTCCGAAAAGACATGAGAAAAATTGATGCTACGGAAGAATTAATGGAAGACTGAGGAAGATGCCAAAAACCTGCTTAGGTTTGAGTGGCCAACCAGATAAGGTAAAGTAAGTAGGCCTAATAATAAATGTATAAAACTACTTGTACAATATCCGTAGTGAAACTAGTTACAAATATAGGGACTATGAAAGAATAACACTCTACTTGTAGTCGCTATCCCCCTTATGAAGCAAATTTGATTATTGTTTTATGGTTTGTCACTAATGGCCAATATCTAGTGTGTGTTTGGTTGTTTGCCATTAGTTTCTTGTTGTTTAACTAAATAAAACAATCTAATTGTTAATTGCTTTTCCTGAGCCATATTGTTACCAAGGAGTAAAGTACAAATTTTACCCTAAAACCTCTAAAACAAAAGTGAAATACTCAGTCTACACACATCAGAAAACTCAAATTTAACTAATGATATTTCAAAAGAGGTTTCAGTCTGACAAAGCATTTGGATGTTTTGATTGAATCAGTGCAATCGATGCAATTAATTAATTGTAATCTTTAGTTTACTTTTGTAACTATAATGTCCAACAAATCAGAAGTTAGATTATAATAGAGTTAATGATGTTTATTTTAGTCGTTTAAATGGCATCTAGCCTTTATTGTGAATTGAAATGAATAACACTTTTCTTTGCTGAAATTTACAATAACGATTCTACAAGTTCTGTCGCTATTTCTAAGAGAATCAATCTGTCATATGCTCCAATCAATTAGATCAAATCGAATTAACTTAAAACATTAATTGTAAATCCAAATTAAACACTCATAAACTGCTAACCTGCATAATCCAGAGTGCAGCCGGGTTGTGGCCATGATCCTCCGTTAGGGTAGAAGTCTCGATGTCCGAGGGCTTTCTGGAAAGCGAGATATCCACCCGATGTGTGAACAACTTCCACGTCATCAGCGTCAGATGAAGCCAGCATGTCATCAGGGCCAGCAGTCTTAAACAACACCTGTGCAGGGTCTAGAGCTGCAACAAGTCATAAGTCACTGTAGACATTTAATAACATATGGTTAACACGTTGACTGCTAATAAAATGATATAAACATCTTTTAGGCAGACCTGTAATTTATTGTTGTGAAATTTATATTGAATATCAATACAGAATACTTATTCAGTGTCAAGACAAATATATATACATAAACTCAGCAGGAAGTGACCTCATTAAATTATGGGATCCCAGTCACCAAGCACCAAGTAACTTTCCCCCATGAGGCACACCGATTTTCTATGAGCCCTGATGAAGTCATTCACTAATTCACCCTTAACCAAATAACTCTAAAATGTGCCATACTAACTATTACAAAATTAATTCAATTAACTACTATAGTACAAGAAAAAACACACGCTTTGCCCCTTACACACACATAAATATAAGGTTGTGGTTGACATACAACAGATCCCGCTAGTGTACAACGGATTACACAACGCAAACTGAGAACAATATTTCTCCACACGTACAAAATATCACCCTCCTTTGACCGAGCCTGAGCTTACACTGAGCTCTTGTTGTTAGGTGGATTGTTTGGGAAGCGGGCGTCCCATGCCATGGGCAGTGGGACCGTGATGAGAAGCCTGTGGTCCATACGCAGTCAAAAAGTATTTAATCTACAATAGATAAATATGTAGATCATTATCAAAATTATTGGAACTGCTCTGTTCCAAGCTCTTCCGTTTGTATTAAGTTTTAGTTAAGTGGATATTGTTTCCATAAGTCTTGTTATTTTATTTTTCTCTTTTTTATGGTCTAATGCTTAGAAAATTACTTTTTCCCAATTGCAAGCTAACTATTGGAATAGATTTAAAGAGGGTTAAAAAGCTTTGAAGTATACCACGCATCTCCTTGCTAACTTGCTTATTCCAATGTCAACTTTGAATGCAATGTGTTCCAGATCATTCTTCTAACAACCATGAACCAGTAGTGTACTTGTAAAATGGTCAATCTATATATTTAATACGCGACATGAAACTTTTTGAACAATAAGACTCTTTTTTTTAAGATTTAACCCCACATACCAAAATGTTCGTCTAGGTGTGTAGATGTGCAAACTGGCTTTGGATTTTCAAAATATATCTTTTAAAGGGCGTGGGCTGCCCTCAAAGTTCCTTCCATAAGGATAACATAGTGATTGATTTGAATGTTATTGTATTCTAAAACAGATGTCAATACATTAGTAAAAAAAAATAAATCCCAGCTGTTTTGTTTGGTTTTGAAAAATTCTCAGCAGCATTCACTTGGCGAGATGGTATTAAAATGTCAGAAATGTGGTGCGCTACATTTTAAAGAAGAACAAAGAAGACGAGGCGAAGGATTTTCATCCGGCTGCCATAAAGAAAAGTGAATCCACCACCATACCGAGAAATCTATTATATCCAGAGCCTACTTAATATAGCAAATCAATTGAGCAGAAACTACAAAGAGAACATTAGATCGTACAACTCTGCGCTCGCAATGGTCAGCACTCGAGCTAAAATTGAAGAACATAACGGTGGAGGGCCTTTCATGTATAAGGTGCACGACACAATTTATCACTCAATTGGCACCTTTCAACCGTCAGAAGGGGAGCATCCCACATGTGCCCAAATTTATGTCTACGGACGTTGAAACCGCTGTTCAAGAAAGAATGCTAAACAAAGCTAATCGCTCTTGCAGCACTGAACTCAGGGACATTTTGACTCAACATTTTGTTGATATTAATCCATACGCGCAAGTTTTCAGCACGATGAGCTTCGTCCTGCAAAATACTCCTACTGAACAGCAAAAAGAACTTAGAATACATATAGCCAACGATCGAGCTCAAGACCAACGCCGATACAACAACGCAACTTCTAAAGACGTTGCTATAATATCCTAATTTATTATTCGTGCGAATTCGCACGGGTTCAACTAGTACTTTTTATTTTGACTCTTGGGAATAGCATTAGGACGTTCAGAAAACATTATTTACAAAATAGAAATGCGTTACTGAGCCCCCACACTGCTTATAATAAATTTTGTAAATTATTATTGAAATTTTGCAAACAATTTAACTCTCCAAACAAAAACCAACACTCTAACAAAAGTAATCAATTACCTAACACGCTCATAAATAGATACTGTATTTCCAAATTCCTCTATTACAAAAATTCTAAAGTTTCAAACCAACAAGGTTTAACTGTACAATGCTTCTCCTTCTAAAACCATCGTAGCAACTTATAAAACAAATATTTTCTACATTCGTTGGCTTGAACGACAGGTGTTGTCACTGAATTTTCGGTCTTCTGGCGAGAGACTGTTTCAGTTTGGCCACTGAGGATGCTGCGATTATAGAATTGGCGAAATGTCTGGTTTTGTAAATCGTGTAAATACACGACCTCTACTCAGTTTTAGGCTCCAAATTTTTCTTTTCAACTATGAACAGCAAGCTATTCCTATTTTTACTTAAGCCCAATCCATCAAAATTATCAACAATAAGACAAAATACTGTATTGCACTCTCAGAATTAGCAATATTCAAAGAATAAATTCAACCCCATAGTAACAATACTCATTTTCCACCATTTTTGTAATATCTTTTAACTCTGAAGAACCAAAGAGCTTTTGAAATCAGACAATTTCACATACCTGTGATTTTCTTGATCTTGCCGCTACGGACGTTTTTACCAGTCAGTCCCACGACATGCGCGCCCAGACTGAACCCAACGAGATGGAAGTCCTGCATGTCTGCGCCTGTCGAGCGTGACAAGTGATCCAACATGGCCGCCGTGTGACGCCCCACCACAGCTGTGTTGCGTGCGGCTGTACGGTACCACGGCGTAGCGGCCATCTGGCCCCAGTCTACCCAGAACACATTGTAGTCCCCACGAGCGAGGAAAGCTGTACAGATTTCAGAAAACAATTTTACTTTCATTTACCAACAATAATATATTAAGTGTGTGAAGGTTAATTAGTATTATGAAAGCTATCTTTATAAAATTTAAACTTTATTGAAAGTTTTTGAGTTAAGCTGACTTTATTGATAAAATGGTAGTGGACGTTTTATGAAATTAAAAATGTTCAATTATATTGATTGTTATAGTTGTCATTTAATTGTTTTTTGTAAAGGAACTGACTTAATCCTGATTTTGTTACTTTAATTCTAACACTGAATGTTTTTCCTTTAGCATCATCAATTGTAACCCAATGACAAAAGGGGAGTGACTGAAGACAAAAAACTTGATGTGGAGCGTCGACAATGAACGATTCAAACACTATTTGATTTTTCTAAAGCATTTGACTGTGTTCATCATGACTTGCTGGTTTGGAAATTACGGGTCATAGGGTTTTCCCATAATTCTCTTAGATGGCTGAGATCTTTTATGTCAGATAGGCAGCAATGTGTGGAGATTGGTGACAGGAGATCGACTGGGTGACTGTTACATGTGGTGTGCCTCAAGGGTCAATCCTTGGGCCTCTGCTCTTCGTACTGTACGTCAATGACATAAACTTTACCTTGGTTAACTGTAAACACCACATGTACGCTGACGACTTAAAAACAACGAAAACGACTGTGTCAGAAGGATCAATAAAGAGGTCAACCAAATTGTTACTTGGACTGAGAATCATGGACTATAAATCTCGAAAAGACGAAACCGATTGTCATTAGCCATTCTCGACTTCGACCTTCAATTGACTTAGACTCTATAAACCCAATCACATTTAGTGGCAAAGCACTTCCATACTACGGCAATGTCAAGAATCTTGGTATATCTTTCAACTCTTCATTTTTTACTTGGGACATAGCAGTTACGGACACACGAAAAATGGTTTTTACCTCCATAAATTCATTGAAAAGATTACAGAATTTTTACCACAACACACAACAACATTTTATCAAATCACTTGTACTAACCCCACTTCAGTTACTGCAACTCATTTATCAATGACTTGACTGTGACTCAGGCGGGTATGCTCCAGCGGTCACAGAATTATTGTTTAAAATTTGTCTATTGTCTGCGACATGTGGATCTTATCACGCCATACTACCTTGTGGCACACATCCTGAAATTAAATGATCAAAGATTCATTAAAATTTTGTCATTGGCTTTTTCAATTTTGAAAACAGGCTCCCCAAAATATTTCAAATCCCATTTTAAATTTGTGTCCCAGAGTAGTTCACGAATGTCTCGTTCTTCTTCGATGTGAATCACATTGCGTGTACCTCATCATGTGACCCAGAGCGCCCTGGGCGCCGCGGTCAGGGGGGCGCCGCGGCAAAATTAATGCAACAAATTTAAAAAAGTTAGATGCACATATCGTATTTTGGAAAGTTATGTATAACCACGAATACTAGTTCTATTATTCGTGTGTGTATCTGAATGTTGAATATTATGTTGTATGCCTTTATTGAAAAAATACATATTATTTGATACCAATCACTTTATAATTTGCAATGTTTTCCAAATTAAATATCAATATATTATTGAATTAAATTTAGTAATAATAGCCTAAACAATCAACTCCACTGTGGAGTTGAAGGCTCTGGCCCAACTTAATTATCTTAATATATTGCAATGTTTTAATTATCTTAATATTGCGGTTCGCAGTGTTGCTCTGTACATGTAGCTGCCGTATTCTATTTTTAATTCGCCCGACCGGCCGACGGTCGACCTTGAGAACCACCCCTACCCCAATCACTCCTTTCTCCTACGGCAGTCTCAGCTGAGCTGCCAGCTTAGTTTGATGAGTGATTAAGAGTTATTTGTACATTTAATGTTTAGGATCTCATATCTAAATGTGATAACGTGGTTTTCTTTTATTCTGTATAAACATTCTATTCAGAGTAGGTTTGGTTTGAGGTTTTGCATACATTTCATTTATTTCAATTTGCTCTGTATTAATTAATAACACATACAGTATAGTATTTTTTATACATTTTAACATTTTCTTACATTAATTGGGATTTGGTTATCATCAATAAAAAGTGATTTTCATAGAAAATTTAAGTAATTTATCCCTAATAATCAACCCCCAGATTCCTGACTCTAGTATTTTTGTAAGGTGATTCAATCCCTTTAGGTGTCTGTTTTTGGGGATTAAAACAAAGATAGCGACATCATCACTCATTCTGAGTTTTGGGGGGGGGGGCCTGGCAACATCCCGCCCCGGGCGCCAAAAACCACGCGACGGTCCTGATGTGACCTCCTTTGTAATATTATTTCTTTATATTTATGAATGTCAGGTTAAGTGTAAGAAAGGGTCATGTGGCCATAACTTTGCCTGCGAAAATAAAAAAAAATTCATTTCAAAGGCATTTGGGTCAAGAATAAATCTTGCTTGGAATCATATTTGAACACGAGCACTATAACCTCTTGACTTCGCTGACAACATATTCCTGCTGCCAATGTATTACTGGTATCTAATTATTTTAAGGCTTGATATTGGACTGGCTACTGTGGTTACTATATCTATATATTTGCAAACAAATATCCTAAATCAATGATTTACTATGTAATTAGTTACTTTTCCCTGGTTAAATATTCATTATAAATAGGACAGATTTTGAGAGGAGCTCATATCTGTACAGGACTAGCTTCACTATATCTTATTTAGATAGACAGATACATAAACTGAAATTGCTCAAGTAACTTAAATAGGCCTACATTGAAATATTATGTAGTCACTAATTACTTTGTTGGTTACGGTTCCTTTTTAGTAGTTGCCAAAGTGCCTTTCCAAGTTGCACTTGCTGGGAGGATGACAACTTCAGTTTTGGTTATTTTTAAAATACCTCCAACAAAAATCAGGAGTAAAAGTAAAATACTGTTGATGATTCCATTTGAGTAAGATAAGTATCATCCAAAAGTAAGACTCGACATTACATTATAGAGCAGTATAGTACTCATAAATGATCCTGAGTAATGAAACCGCTGATCTTAGTCAGTAACAAAGCTACACAGGTCATCAGACACCATTCTACACTCATCCTTCACTCATATTTGGGTTAAAACACGCACCTAGGTGGCGTCCCCTCAATGGTTGATAATTAATCATAATAATTATAGCTACCAATAAAAACTTAAATATCACAAAAACGTACCATCTCTCAAAATGGGAAACATGAGTGAGTTCTCTCCACTGTCTCCAAACCCGTGGACCAAGAGCTTGGACTTCCGTTGTGGCTTGAAGTACTTGAACACCGGGAGGCACGAGTCATTCATGGATCTTCTCTCAGCCCTTGTCGGGTTGTCCCTGCAACCCAAGCTACAAGTTAGTACATTCCAGCTATCCTTATTCTCACTCCAGAGACAAGATATTTCCAAAAAGAATCTGAATGTATTTTACTCAAAGTAAGGATTTGTGATATACCTGATGGCTTTGTAAATCAAAATTTAGAAGAAATAATATGTACGTATGAACCATTGACGATCTAAGCTTCACCTGTTGTAATAGAGGAGTGCTGAAGTAATTGATACACAGTTAATTGAAAAAACTCAGACAGTGAAATAATATTAAAAACTACCTTTGCTTAGACCTATTAGGTGGGTTGCCTTGTCTTCACAAAGCTGATTTAGATTAGGATATAGTTTTTACAACAGGACTGATTTTTATGTGAATGATTTAATTTGTTATAGTAGTTATCAGATTCAATGATAAGTACAAGATAAGATCTTGGGATGATTCAGATATTGTTAACCACTATCCATTTTGTTAAGGGATTGTTCTAAACTAGCTGTTCTTGCAAAATTATATTATATAGCAGCAATTAATTGATGCTGAATGGAAAATGACAACTGGGACTGAATCAATCTCACTTTGGACTCAACCTCACTTGATCGTCCCAGAGGAACCATTGAATTTGTAGACGATCATGACCCCTTTGCTACCCAGTTAGTTATATTTTGGATATTGATTTTCAACTCTTACCAATTGCTAAATAATAAGATTATATTTAGATATTATTTCTATTTGTAAAATTTTGAATCTTTTCAACAACCATAATGTTTATTTCCAGCCATAAAGAATTGATTGTGTCCTCTAACCTCGTGTACAGATAGAAGTTGACACTGTCAACCCCAGCCGAGTTGCGAGGTTCGACCCCAGACAAGATGGCCACCTGGACGTTGCCTTGACCATCTGGCATCAACATCCATTCTACATCCTCTCCATCAGTAACTGGCATCTGGTTGTCCACCACCTCGTAACCTCGTGACAGAGTTGAATAACCATTGATTATATTATGGATGCAAGGTAAAAGCATGAACAAGATGAGAAGCGATTTCAGCAAGTCAAGTACCAAAACGTACCTGCTGGAATCGCCCCTTGCATTCATGACCATGACGCAAACTACTTTTTTTGAAAATTTTCCTATGTGACTAATGAGCCGAATTCAATGTTTCAGGTTTCAAAAAGACTGTTCTTTTTTGATTAAATTTTCGGTTTTGGATAACATTTAAAAAATTTCAAATTGTTTTACCCTGAAAGGCCTCAGTTGCTCTCAGAGTTTTGGAGGACCAATACTGTGATCTAAAGACAGGATGCGGTAACTAGAAGAGCTTTAACACAACCTTTAATTCACATATTAATATATTACTAGTGGTCGTCCAGTAGTCGAAAACTCGACCAAAAACATGTAATCTACACGTATTGACTATTGGATAATGAAGTAGACATCCCATCTCTATGGACCAGCTGTCGCAATTTTGTTTTTATAAAAAAAAAACATGTACTGTACCGGTACTGTAGTTCTGTGAGCCATTCACCGAAAGCATGACTTAAATTCTATTTTCTACCTAACTTTTTGTTCCTGAAAAAGTTGATGGGCCATAACAAATTAATATAGCTCATTCAAAATGTTTTCTATCTTTTTCACCCCACGCTGTAAATGAAACATGTGATTGGAATTTCTTTCATTTGTTTTGATTTTCTGTTTACATTTCGTTGTTATTTAGTCACCAGCATGGCAACCCATATAGCCCATGTTAAATTTTTAAAATTTCAAATTAATTTTTTGTGCTTATATTTGAGCCTATTTTAATTTTTAAAGGGATTCTGCACTCCTACAGGAAAATATCTTTCTAACGGTATGCTTAGATTTTCCCTGCGTTACACACGAGCTGAGAAAAAAGGTTTTAAAGAAACATGCTTGCCTATTAATATATAGACTAGTGGTCGTCCTGTGGTCGAAACTCGACCAAAAATAATTAATGTACAGACTTCTCTATTTTCCCCCCATACTGTAAATAAAACATGTGATTGGAATTTCTTCTATTTGTTTTGATTTTCTGTTTACATTTTGTTGTTATTTCGTCACCATCATGGCAACCCATATGGTCCATGTTAATTTTTTGAAGTTTTCAAATTAATTTTTTGTGCTTATTTATTAGCCTATTTTAATTTTTAAAGGCATTCTGCACATCTACAGGAAAATACCTTTCCAACAGTATGCGTAGATTTTCCCTGCGATGCACACGAGCTGAGAAAAAAGGTTTTAAAGAAACATGCTTGCCTATTAATATATAGATAGAAGATTACTGTAAATAAAACATGTGATTGGAATTTCTTCTATTTGTTTTGATTTTCTGTTTACATTTTGTTGTTATTTCGTCACCATCATGGCAACCCATATGGTCCATGTTAATTTTTTGAAGTTTTCAAATTAATTTTTTGTGCTTATTTATTAGCCTATTTTAATTTTTAAAGGCATTCTGCACATCTACAGGAAAATACCTTTCCAACAGTATGCGTAGATTTTCCCTGCGATGCACACGAGCTGAGAAAAAAGGTTTTAAAGAAACATGCTTGCCTATTAATATATAGATAGATAGATAGATAGATAGATTTTGGGTTTAGCTGGCTGTGTAGAGACTAGAGAGTGTATAGTGAACAGAGTAACGCCCTTGAAATCTCTAAAACCAAATAAATAAGAATAAAGCTGAAGGAATACCATCTGATTTGAGTTTTCGAAAGAATGCCATTGCCTGGACCAATAGGTTTGTAGTTGGTGAGATTCCGGTGGGGCACACGGGAGGGACTAAGGCTAACATATCTTGTAGTGTCAGCGTTCGCCGCTAGAACTGCTAAGTTGAAATAATTTAAATTAATTTTTTTTTTAGTTATAAAATTAACTTTTTAATTATAAAATATTGTTTCAAAATTATAAAATAAATTTTTAATTTTTAAAATTAAACTGTCATAACATAACCTAACCAACCAGACTTGCTGATAATATAAAAACTATATAAGATAAAAATCTAATTAATAATTACTTATAATTTTTAATTAATTATAAAATTAATTTTAAAATGTAGTATTATAAAATTAAACTGTCATAACCTAACCTAACCAACCAAACTTGCTGATATGAAAAATTTGTTGACAAAAAGTCAGTGCTACCAGCGGGATTCGAACCCGGGACCTCCTGCACACCAATCCGATACGCTACCAACTATGCCACGAACGCCGCTGAAATCACATCGTTTCGTAACGGTAATCGTGTCGCCTCAAGAGAAGACATTACCCACTAGAGATATGACGTCACTACACCTTTAGCCTTAGTCCCTTCCGTGTGCCCATTCCGGTGAGATTCCACACAATGGTAAAATCAACATTAGAACCTGACAGGGCATAAAGCATTTCCCCATTGTAAAAAAATCATCAGATTTTTTATGTCAACTTTTTATTGGATTATCATTACCAATAAATGTTTGGAAAGTGTTACCCTGAGTGATGTAAATACACTTTGTACTTTATTGTTTTTAAATTTATGTTATGGGATTGGGAATATATTTATTTGTGAATTCAGTCCTTAGCTGTTTAAAATAGGAAAGACACAAACATCTGCAGCTCTCCCTACCTCATATGGTACTTTGCCTCGCCATCACTTTGCCTCTAGACAACAATAATACAGACAGATTTTACACAGTGTTTGTTGGTAATTGGTTTGGACAACAATATAAAATCTGGCAGATGAGATAATGCTTTCAAAGGTTTTTTTTTCAGAAGTGTTTAGAATATAAATTGTAAAAACTTTGTAGTCTGATCAATTTAGAAACCAAAATAAAAAAAAAAAAATCAATTTAGAAAATTTAGAATCAATTTTAGAAACTCAACCAACTAGTTAAAAGTTAAAAGCTAAGTACATTTTTACAGATGTATCAACACTGTGATTTACTACTTAAAAAGAAAACATGATTCTGTTGGAATAGTTTTTGTACGGTACTGCAACAGGTGTAACAAACTTACCTGATTAGGCAGAGTCTCGGTGACAACAGACTAAAATATTTGCTAAACTCAGGAGATTTTCCTGCTCTTGTGGAAGGTCACCAAAAACATAATACATTGTAACTGTGTTTTATATATTTTAACTGCTTAATTGATTCAACAATTTTGATCTTAAAGTAGTAAGGGTTATCAGCAATAACTGATGATAATAAAGATCATCTCATCAAACACTTACCCTCACACCAGTAATCCAAATATATGAGCACCAAACAATAGAAACCTGTCAAGAGACGTTTCATCCTGTCCTAACTTGACATGCTAACATATACTGTTTATATAGGCCAGTATGTTGTCTATCTGAAGGTGAGTGCCCCCCATTGCTGCATATCTATCAGCACAAAGTGCCTGTCACACTAATAAATTGTGTACATGACTTACAATGTGTTAACTATCGTATCAGACCATTTAGGCCTTGTACCTAGGCTTATTCATGCATGATACTTCAATGAGCTAATTTATAGTCAAAAGTGTGTTGTGATATATGCTTCAATGGGAGAATTCAAGGTCGAAGGTTTAATCTCCAGTAGGTTTGTTGCATTCCAGTCAGTGAGATTATTACAAAGAGTGATCGAGTTTTATACTTATACTGTAATTTCAACAGAGCAAAGAGTATAGAATTTTGGGCGAGTGAAAAAAAAATAGTACACTAAATAAATACATACAAGCTGCTATACCCGTCCTTTGCAACGGGAAGAAATGTAACCCAGAGAGCTATTAAAGTGGTGCTGATGTGTTTTAAAATACAACAACTCTATATGATTTAGTATGAAAATATAAACGGATTTAAAAGTGTAAACCTACACTTTGATCTTAGCCAACAGGCCGAGAAGTGAAATTAAATCATCTCAACTTTAGAAGCATGCCAGGCGTAGCCCTTTGGAAATCAGCTTGTAGGGCAGAGCCCTTAGGAAATTCATCCATATCAATACTTTTCGGCAAATCTACATACTCTAAGCTTCATTTTGATGTGATTTTTATTTGGTATATGGCCTTAACCGTTTACATAAAATTTGATTGTATCACTTTAATAATATAATAGATTGCATAGATTCTCATAAAAAAAATGTATAATGGTTATTGCAATAATTGTGCTTTGTGAAAAGTTCATAGGTAAATATAAACCAACAATTTCAGTTTTTAATGTCAATGAGCTGCATGACAAAAGCAACAGCCACTAATAGAAGTACCAAATAATCATTAGTTTTTTTATTTTTAAAATTTATGGGTATCGAAAATTAAATATTTTTCTACAGTACCTAATTTAAATAAATTATTTTTTGTTAAAGAATGGACTAGCATCGCAATATGTAAAATTTAAAAAAAATCTTTAAATTGTGAGGAGAATGTTAGCATCACTTTGATGAGAATGATAGTAAAAATAAAGTTGTTCATTTATTAAGAAACTGTATTATAAATGACAATACAAACTGTAGGTAGTAAAAGTAGTCAAGTAATAGTTTAACGAAATATTATTAATTAAACTCATTAAAATATAAAAAGAACAAAAACCATAACATAACAGGGCATAACAAACATGGGGTGAAGTCTACTGTGCGAGAAAAAAATCGGTAAAAATAAAGTTTTTTAGCACTCAAAAGTGCTAAGGAACGATATATTATCCAGTCTCGATCATATGAAGAATTAAAAGAAACAATCGCTGTTTCGAAACAACAACCGAGTCAACCAATATGCCCATTTAAACTCACACATAGAAAGTCATCGAAACATCGAAAGCCGGGCCAGCATGACATAACATACTGTACCCATAACACTTTTTGGAAAAATATGCACTACAATATATCGTCGCATAGCACTGAACTAGCAAACTAGGGTTGACTATATAGCAAAGTTCCAACTTTTTCTAGTTTAATTTGCAGTACACCATTTATCAGTATCACTCAAT